CGGGCGAGAGCTCCCCCTGCCGCTCCGGCGGGCCGAGCCGGGCGAGCCGTGACGAGGAGGAGAGGAGTGGGTCTACGTGCCCCTGCTCCGGGCTCGGCCTCTGCGGGGGCCCCGGCGCCCTCCCGGCAAGCCGAGAAGCCCTCTGCCACCACAGCTCCCAGCCCGTTTCCCTGGTGAACTCTCACCCCAGCCGAAATCAGTCAGACCCAAGTGCGGGGGCCGCCCAGCTCCCTGCCTGGAAACCGGGTGGCAGCACCGGGCGCTGGGTCTGTTAATTGTCCTAACGATGCTGGCAGGCCCGAGCCGGCCCCCGAGGGGAGATGGGGCAGGAGGGGTCAGAGAGCAGGGTCTGCCTGCCTAACCCCTCCGCTCCCGTTCCCTCTGCTTCCCCCTCCTCTCGTTTCATCTCCTTCCCCCGTGAAATGCTGCGGAGGAGAAATGGGCAGGATCACCGGTGGGACTGCGGGCGTTTGCCCTTTGCCAGCCAGAGAGGTTTCTGACGTGAGGCAATCTGGGTCTGACACCGGCTGAACGCCTTCCCTGTGGGCTTCGTGCTTTCTCAGCCCCTACTGCTCTGAGAAGCCCATCGAGGTCTCACAACTAGGTCTTGCTCTGACCCACAGCTTTTCCTTTTTTCATACACGAGGTTAAGCCAGTATTAGTCCATTCAAGTCTAAGCATAGCACAGGCAGCAGGAGTCATCCAGCACTTCATGATTCCCCGCTGTTCTAGCCCCATCCAGCTCCGCACAGTGTGCTTGGAGATGGCTTCTTCTTCTGCCCTTAAATGCTAGTTTTATTTTACCAGCAGAGCATCAGGTGTTTTCCAGTAACCAGGCAAAGAGCCAGCATCCGTGTGTGACATGGAAAGAGCAGAGCCCCAGAGAGCAACAGCACTTTTGTCCTGCAGTAAGACAAAGCCCACGCAGAGCTGCCCTCTCTCTACGACCATTTTTATCGGGCCATGACATTTTCCTTGTTAACTGAAAGTCTGCTGTGAACATTGTGTTTTAATGTTGTAATCTCAAAAATATGAGCAGAAGAACCAACTGCCTCTAGAGGCAGGGACCAAAACACTGCAGCTCTTTTTTATCCATATTAAAACCAACCGGGTTACTTTTGTTTCTAAAACAGGTTCAGTCTGGATCAGGTCAATAAATATTGGAATATACATGCCTTTAAGGGTATGTGGTGATCTGATCATGCAGCCTTACACATGAAGGAGGTGGCTCTGGATCTTATAGGAATGGTGGATTTGAGAGAAAATGCTGCTCATTAAAGAGCAGAGCAGTGTATTATCGGTAACACAGCCTGCATGAACAATGAAAATGTCTTACACATGGAAATAAAGGTACAACATAGCTGTACACTTGTTTGATACATGCTTTTAATCCGCTGTAAAGCTGTAGAAATCATAGAATCATAGAATAATTTGTGTTGGAAGGGACCTTTAAAGGCGCAAACACCCCCCCCACCCACCCCACCCCCCGCAATGAGCAGGGATATCTTCAACTAGATCAGGTTGCTCAGAGCCCTGTCCAATCTGATCTTGAATGTTTCCAGGGATGGGGCATCTACCACCTCTCTGGGTAACCTGTTCCAGTGTTTTCACCACACTCATTGTAAAAAATTTCTTCCTTATATCTAGTCTAAATCTACCCTCCTTTAGTTTAAAACCATTATGCCTCGTCCTATCGCAACAGGCACTACTTGAAAGTCTGTCCCCTTCTTTCTTATAAGCCCCCTTTAAGTACTGAAAGGCTGCAATAAGGTCTCCCTGCAGCCTTCTCTTCTCCAGGTTGAACAACCCCAACTCTCTCACCCTTTCATCATAGCAGAGCTGTTCCATCCCTCTGATCATTTTTGTGGCCCTCTTCTGGACCTGCTCCAATAGGTCCATGTCTTTGCTGTGCTGAGGACTCCAGAGCTGGACGCAGTACTCCAGGTGGGGTCTCACCAGAGCGGAGTAGAGGGGCAGAATCACCTCCCTCGACCTGCTGGTCACACTTCTTTTGATGCAGCCCAGGATATAGTTGGCTTTCTGAGCTGCAGGCACACATTGCCAGCTCATGTACAATTTCTCATCCAACAGGATCCCCAAGTCCTTCTTCTCTGCTCTCAATCCATTCATCCCTCAGTCTATATTGATACTGGGGATTGTCCCAACCCAGGTGCAGGACCTTGCACTTGTCCTTGTTGAACCTCATGAGGTTCACACAGGCCCACTTCTTGAGCTTGTCCAGGTCCCCCTGATGGCATCCCGTCCCTCAGGCGTGTCAACTGCACCACACAGCTTGGTGTCGTCTGCAAACTTGCTGAGGGTGCACTCGATCCCAGTCATTGATGAAGATGTTAAACAGTACTGATGAAGATATTAAACAGTGCTATTAAAGAGAAATGCAGCTGTGGGATCTATGCCTTCTACACAGCATCTCCTGCACAGCCCCTGGTGTTTGTCTGACCATGCTCCCATGGCACAGAACTTAGTTTCAAATGATTCAGCAGAAGTTTGGGCTGATTTCTTTTGTTTGAAAGAAAAGACAAAGAAAAGAGAACAATTCAGAGGTTTGGTTTTGTAGTGATAATG